AGGAACTCCATGTTTTCTCCTCTGTCTGCTGGTCAGTTGGTCTTCAGGTTTTCAGCTACCTGTCTCTCACTCATGCCATTTTCCAGCATTGCCAAGATGTCTGCCTCAGTGGCTTCACTCAGTTCTCCTGTTATAGGCATTATGTTAGAGCTAACAAATTCTGAGTTGTGCTATGGCTTGAATGTAAGTGGTAAACAACTCTAGGCTGTTGCATGCGCAGTGCTGCTAATGACATGAAATGGCCTTTTATATATCCTGGGAATACAATTAAGCTTAAGTGTGTCAAATAGGACATAAAATATCATCAGGTAATACTCCTTCAGTGGTATCAAGCATTGAAATGAACAAGAAATTGAAGAAAACAAAGATGGTCTAATATTTTTTTCCAAGACTGTAGATACATGTAATTTAGAGTGTGTTTGTCCTTTTACTTGTGTATTATCTGTGTGATTATCTTTGATCAACAACTGACTGGTTTCATTTCTTACCCCATTTAAATTTTCTGCCTTAATAAAAATTCCATCAGGTATTAATGGTTAGAGGATATCAGACTCCAAGTTATAATCGGTGTGTAAAAACCATGTGAGATATATTCCAGTTAAAATTGCTCATCACTTGAAGCTCCTGTGAGGAACTTTCTGTTTGAATCAAATTTGGTCCCCCTGTGGACAACCCAGTCTTTGTTTATCTTGTCCTCTAGACTCTCAGGTAACGATTTCCAGCAAAACCTCATTCTTCTAAATTTGACAGGTAAAGACTAAATTTAATATGAATATTCTTTGTGGAAAAGGTTGAAATGGGGCTGTTTTCTGTGGTTTTGCGGCTGACACCTACCTTCTTGCTCCAGATTCAGACATTGAAATTATAGATAAAAAAAGTATTCAGTCTTGGCAGTAATGGTTTGTTTAAAAAAAGGGGGAAAAATATTATATTCTTGAAAAACTAAATGTGTTTTTTAATTTCAGTTTTTAACATAACCCACTGCTCAAAAATGTAAAAGCTAAGGCACCACTGCAGGCCCGGTGGTCCACATGGGCACCCATCTGCAGGTTGTGTATCATCGTCCATATCATGTCGATGTTGCTCCTTTTCCATGTGTTGCTTCCTGCCACTTTGTTTCCTACGCTGTCCTCTCTCAATGGAAAGGCGATAAATGCCAAAAAAATGTAACTCAAAAAAAGTTCAAATTTATATTTTTAATATGAGAAAATGTTTCACATTGAGTTTGAGTAAATAACTTGTAAAATATAATGAAGCCTGTGTATCTCTCTTGGTCTTATTTAGTTTACACAACCACAATCATGGTTTAGAGTAGACTATTGACCTGACATTAGTCCAGAAGACACTGACCTCCTTCACAAGGAGAGTCAGCCACAAAGAGTCTTTGCTGTTCACAGAGTGCTGTGTGGAAACAGATTCATGGAAAGTTGACTAGAATAGAAAAGTGTGTGACCAAGCAGCAGGGATGAGCGCAGCCTTGAGAGAATTGTCCAGAAATATGGATTAAGAACTCATGGGGTCTTCACAACCAAGAGCCACTAAACAAAGACAAGTCCAAGAAATGGACTACAAGTGTTGAGTTCCTGCTGTCAAGGGACACTCCTGAACCAGAGACAATGTCAGAGAGTCTCACCTGGACTTAAAAAAAAAAAAAAAGACCTTGACTGTCGCTTAGTGGACCAAAATCCTGACCTGGACCCTTTAGAGAATCTGTGTGATATTTGTCCAGAGGAAAGTAAGACCAGCTGACGGCCTCTTTTTTAGGCATCAATATGAATTTCAGTCTTTTAATGTAAAAGAAAAAAATCCTCATAGGATCTTTAAGAAGCAGCTCTAAATTCAGAGACAAGAATGACTTTGGGGTGTTTCATAGTCTTGATAAAAATGACGATTTTAAGGTCAGATATAATGTGCCCACTCTCAGTGTTTTGAGCTTGTTTTGTTGATCTTGAACACATCAGGATCATTTCATCAAAATATAAAGATATTTAAATAATCCGCATGCTTCTGTTACCAACTTCCTTTCTGTGTAAATATAGAAAATCAGTTTATTTTAAAATAAGTTTTTGTGGAGTTCGCTAACATTCCACTAACACTGGGTTTGCGATCAGGACTTGTTGCTATAGTAACAGGTACTGATAAATGTTAATCCACACACTTATTCAGACACATCTCCAATCATGACATGAAAGCTGGATAATGTGCTTGGGCTGAGTCTATGCACTGAGATTCAGTCACCCACTAAACAACCTGTGGCTGTGTGAAGTCTAAATAAAAATGGTGCACAGCTGCAGGAGTTTGATGCATGCAAATAAATATAATTAAACCCATCTAAAATGCAAACAAGCCCATCTCAAATATGCAAATATGCATTTGATTTAAAACAAGGTTGGCCCCTGCTTTTCTGAATATTTATTTCAATGAAACAACCTTCATTTTCCAAGGAGAGGTTAGAGGAAGGTTTTGCTGTAAAACGCTGGAATGATAAGTACACCTGGAGGAGGATTTCAGTTCTGCTGTATGGTAAAATACTTGTCGTGTCGCTGTGTACTTTTCAAGCACTTTTCCTGTAAAGTCAGACTAAAGGTCATGTGAATAACTCAGGCTCTGAATTGGCCAAAAAACAGGTGTGAAAAACAAAGCTGCTGCTTCATGATAGGCAAAAGCATCCAGCAGATTTTCAGATAACCGAAGACACCATTTGTCTGGGGTCTGACCCTCCAATCCACTCAAGCAGCTGTGATCCTACTCCTCATCAAACACGGCTCACACCTCCATCCATGGCTGAAGGCACCTCTTTAGTTAGTGTGTGGTGCACAGAGTTCAGATGTTTACTTACTGTGAGGAGTTTTTGGTAGTTATGAAATAGGCTAAAAAGTGCAACTGAGACTTTTGGCGATAAGATTCAATCTGTCCTGTTTATTATTTTTAACTACTGCCAGGGGGGTATACCTCCAGAAACAGGCTTTGTTTACATCCTCCAAAGCAAATAAGCTCAGTTAGTGACAGTAGGAGGAGATTTTTGTGGAAAAAAAACACCCAGACACTGGACTAAATCAGCAAAGAGATCAAATGTACTGAATGCCCACAGGGGATACTAAAATAACACGACCTTAAAGTTAAAGGAAAAGAGGAGAGGATGTGGAAACTTTTACTTTGATGTTACTACAGAAAGAGATTGTAAGATTGAAAATAACACATTCAGCATATTTGGGCTTTTTCACATCCAAGAGAACTCTTGGCAACTAATTTGACCATTTTCTCTGACCTGTGGATGTTTAACTTATTCTTTCAACATGAAACATTGGGGCTGGGCGATAAAATGATAACAATATATTGAAAATTAATTTCCCTTAATATCAACATAAAAAATGGTCAATATGCTTTTCGATAGTCAGCATTCTGCCCTGTTTTAGTAGACTATACAAATAGCCAATGAAAAGGGGAGTTGCTCCACAACCATAGCACTTTAACAGGTGAAGCTGACAGCACTGTCGGTGAGAAAAAAGGAAAATGAGTGCTACCCCTGACAGAAATGCAGATGAAGGCTCAACATAACATGGTCGACAACACTGGAACAAAACGTCGGTGGTGTGGAGGTATTTTGGGTTTTTTAGGTCGGACAAGAAGCAGAGTAATGTGCACTACAAACTATGTCGAGTACATGTTCTCACAAAGTCGGGGAATACCTCAAAATCTTTTTCACCACCTGAAGCAGTGCCATGCCGCAGAGCATGTGCAAGGCAAAATGTTACAAACCCAGAGTGGAGCAGGGAGCCCATGGCACCTGTGCAGCTGAAACAGTCGACGATTCAGTTCGCATTTTTTCTAGCGCAACACCTTACGACAAAATGTGAAGGAGACACAAAGACCTCACAGATGCAGGAGCTCATTGTATTGCAAAAGACATTCTACCATTAAGCACTGTTACATTTCATTTTTTTATATTGTGATATATATCAACTGATAAAAAAATAATCATGATAAACTTTTTCCCATATCGCCCAGCCCTATGACTCATAAATTAATCCCAAAATTTGACAAAATCATGCGTCTGTAACAATAACCCAGCTTTATCATAAAGTTGCACTTTTCACAGATACCTCAACATAATGGACCCTTTTTTGTTTATACTAAAAGGACATTTTACTTGTATGTTTTCAAAAAATTTGATGGGGAAAACAAAAATTACAATTTTAGTGTTTTAGATTCCAGTGTTTGACAAAACCAAATGGCCTGAGCTTAGTTTAGTTCTTGTTAGCCTTCGCCTTTGACTGGAAGTTCTGAGTAAAGCCAAGCGAGAGTTGTCGGTCAAGGTTGAACTCTTAATTTGTTTGTGAGGAGCTGTGGAAAGATCTTGGACAGAAAACACACAAAACAAGGGAGGATACCGTAGCGCTGCATACCAACAGCGTCATATTTCATGTCTAAAAGTTGGCCGCCATTTTGATCGACCTGAATGTTCACCTCTTGCATGTGTGCTTTAATGACTTTCCCTAATGTGTGTGTCTGTATCAACTTCTCTGTGTGCATCTGTTTTTTCCTCGCAGAGTGCTGTGTGTTTGAGCGAGGCCTTGGCTGCAGCCCTCATACTTCTAATGATATCATGTTCTTACATTCCTGTCATAGCCGATCTGGATTCCCCCTTGTCTCCACCAGCGGATCAACCCCGTGCAGCCACTGGCCCAGCTCGAGCATTCCTCACTCACTCCCAACACACACACACACACACACCCACCCTCAGGAGACCTTTGCCAATGCCTACCCACCGTAAACTTCACATACACACACACACACACACTCACTCCCTTCTGTTTCTATTGTCTTGAGTTTGATTTTAAAGGAACAGCCTGCAGCCAGAGTCTCAGAAAGTCTTTGTTCAGCAGAGTGGTGCCAGGTTTGGTTCCTCGCTGGCAGCAGATAGACAAAGCACGGCTCACACGCTAGACTTCCAGGCTCCTCTTTAATGTGTTGTCATAAAACATGCAGCTGGCAGAGACTTAACGTTCAGTGGGACTCTGTGCTGCTGGGTATTGCCCCTCCAACTGTCCTCGTCCATATTTGTCTCTGCGGCGTCTGTGCTCTCTCACCGTCACATAGACCTGACATTTCTGCTTCTCCACGGCACAGCTTTTCAATTCACCGTTCACTAGTGGAAAATCTGACAAAATCAGGAGACGGGGAAGGTTCCAGTCTGCAGAAATGTCCTCTTCTGTCATCTCGAAATGTTGGGACAGTGGAGGATATTGGTTCGTCTGGCAGAGCACTCACTGAAATTTATTTTTCAGATGAAAATAAGACTCCAGGCTGTCATCTGATTTACTTCTCCTCTGCATGAAGGGAAAAGAAACCCAGAACCAATTTAAGAAGCTGGAGAAGCATACAGCCATGTGGTTTCCCCTTAACCCCTTTAATGTGAGCTTGTGAGGGTTTCATAACCTTTAAGAACTTAAAAACAGATTTGTTTTACTCTTAAATCTGCAAATAAACTCTGTTTATCCTTGAACCAGAGAGGAGAGAATAAATCTCAAACCTGCTCTCACACAGTGGGTTGATAACACAATCCAGTACTATTCACTCCTGATGCACTTCACTTTGATCTGAATCCACATGCAGATGCTCACGTCTTATTAGTTTTCACCATTTTTATGAGAATGTCATTTCTGGCAAAGAGTTGTGAGTTTTTCTAGTTTTGAATATTTGGTTATCATGTTATAATCTCACAACAAGGTTACAAACAGGATGAATGTTGGAACCTTCAGGATGATGAAGCACAGGGACTCTCAGGAGAGACTGTGGTTAGTGACTGAATGGGACATAGTGGTTAAGAGTTATTGACATAGATAGAGAATGGAAAACAGGTGCTCAATGTGCCAGTTCCTTTGGCAGTCTCAGCCTATAGCAGCATGACTAAGAGCTGACCCAGGCCTAAACCAGCTCTAACTGATACAGAGAAGTGCTTTCTCCTCCTGGTTTTGGTCAGTACTTGGGTTTATTATGGACCAGCTGGAAGGTCTTTAAAGAGTTGTTATCAGTCTGAGACTTGATGTGTTCGATTTTTGATATATTGTGCCGGTGAAACAAGGCACCTCTTGTTGGTTGTGGGGGTTAAAGGCTCTATCCTGGATGAAGAGAACTCCCAGAAAAGGCGCTGAATACCAGACTGATCCCATCTACTGCAGTGATATCATTAGAAAATATATCTCTAAGATGTTTGAGGCCAAGGACAAGAACTTAAGTCTTATCAGAAATTAGAAGCACAGAATTTCTGGTCATCCAGGTTTCCATGTCTTCAAGACATGCTTAAAGTGAAGTCAATCTATTGGGTTCTTTTGGCCTCAGCTAAAGGTATAGTTGACTGTCATCTACATGGCAGTGTACATGAGTTTAATGTTTCCTGATAATGTCACTTACAGGATACGGTGAAAAAGAATAGTCCTAGCACTGAACCCTGTGGAACACCGTAACTGAACTCGGTATGCACAGAAGACCTTCATTTGAAGACATGCACAAACTGTGAACCATATGCCAAATATGATTTAAACCTTGCTTAAGTGGTTCCTGTAATGTCAGTCAGTCATTCAAGTCTGAAGGTAAAACTAAGATCTAACAGCATCCATGAACAGGTCATTTGTCACCCTCAGGAGAGCAGTTTCAGTGAAATGGTGGACTCTGAGTCCTGAATGAAGAGCCAAACATTTCATTTACACCTGTTGACTCTGGGCTAACATATTAGTGTCTGTTATTGTTACCCTTTCAGCTCAGTAATATCTATTTTACAGGGTTTAATTCATGAGTACATGCATAACAACAATCTAAGAGTCTGGACACAGAGATATCCATTTTAGTTCACTGGATAGATTACATCAACTGCATTGTTGGTAATGGTTACACGGCTGGTGCTTGTCTTACTTATAAGGTGCTTATTTGAAAAATCTGTTTTATCTTTTTTGTGACAATGGGTGAAAAGCAACATGGTGACCGGTGTGTAAGCTCCTCTGAGGGAAAGTTGGTATTATTATTGTGGCCGCTGTGCTGACCCCTTTCTCTCTAATGATCTCAAGTCTTTTTATACCTCCTCAATTCTCTCTTGAGCCATAACCACTTATAATTCTATTATAGATTAACGATTAACCATGGAGGATAGAAAAAAAAAGATCCATTACCAATTCCCAGAGTTGAAGTTGATGTCTTCACCTTTCTTTTGTCCTTTTTGTCCTCAAACAAGGATATGATAGAAATCAGCACAAAATCTTTCAAGGGGATCCCGAAAACAAACATGTACATTGAATTTAGGACACATTATGACATAAGTATGCATAACATATAACAAATACAGACATCTTGCTCACCCCACTCCCACACACAACCCAAACCAACATACGCTTAACATACAAAATTTATTAACAAGGATAAATAATGTGAACAATGAACATATGATGACATAACAAAACTGTCATAGAGACATTTTTTGTAGACCAAGCAAATAACTTTAATGTAACACACTTGACAACAATTGACTGACTAATATCTTCTTTCATTCTTAAATGAAAGTTAGTCTGGTGAGATGTCATCCACTGGCTGACCTAATGAACGCCAGGTCGAAGACCTCACATAGCCTCCCCTCATGCAGATAACCCGGGTCCAACTCTGTCAGGTCTGCTGTGGTGGCTCCATAAGCCTGCCCATGTCAGGGTAGCAACAGCACTGATGCTAAATAAATCACAGGCAGTAAATGGCTTCTCCTCCTCAGCAATTTCCTCAGCGCTCATCAGTCTGTAGGCTGGGACTGATAGCTCGCTGTCAGTCGCCTGCTACCTCAAAGTAACCCAAAATATGATTTCACTGCAGCGTGGCAGCAGGTTAGCTTCACCTCCTGTTGTTCAGAGGGCTGGGATAGCGAGGATAGAGGTGGTCAGAGGGCTAACTGGGGGCAAAGTTGTGTATCTAGGGTTGTGATGTTGTGGCTTTGGGGCTGGCGGAGACAGGAAGCACCCTGACCTTGTGTTTGTGTAATGGCCGTCCTCGTGATAGATGCTGTTGTCAGAGTATTCACCAGCTGCACCACGGGGCTGTCCACTAACCCTGACGCAGATAGATTGGCCTTTGTTTTTTCCCTCACCTCCGCTGTGTAATTAATCTTCACTGAGAGTCCATAGAAGAGAATACTATAAGACTGTGTGTTGCTCACTGGTGGGCAGGCGGGTGGAGGCAGCTCTCAAGGCCTCGAGGACAAGCACCACCCAAAAGAAGATGTTTAAATGCATGCAGCTCGGGGCCTCCTCCCTCACCTTGACTATCAAAAAAAAAATAAGAGGTGGCGAGCACAATATTTGTCCCTGCTCTGGAGTACAATTTATCTTGGGTGAAAATAGCAGCTCCGGTAAGATTCAGTAGTAATAGACCTTCTCCAGCAGCTCTGCCAACACATATTTTATACTGAGGCCTGCTTTATCTCCACCTATTGCCTCACAACGTTTTCAGCTCCATTTCACAAGATAATGAGGCTGCGAGCTGAAACGACTTAAAGCTAATGAACATATCTGTGCTGCTATTTTTTAGATTCTGGTCTTTGTGTATTAAAAACAGTCAATTTAGAGACATGTTACTGGTTAGGGTTAGTGCAGCACGAGCAAAAAGACATTTGTTGCTCAAATGTGGTGATCCTCAAAAGATTGCACACTTTAATCTTGAAGAAGTTTTTATTCTTACTACTGAATTCTATAGGAGTAAATATCCAGAAGTAAAAACTGAAGGGTGTTAGGCAGCTTTATTTGTCTAATAATCTAATTGCAATCTATGTTTTTACTCATTATAAGATATTTGTGGAGGAACATGCTTCGTTTCTGTAATGATACCAATGTGCACAGCTTCTTTGAGCTTTGAAATGCAGAGGTTTGTGGGCAGTGTTTGTGATGTGAGTATAAAATCCTCCTTGGAGCAGTGGGCCGCTAATCAGAGGCTGTGGCTAATCCCTTGGCTGTGGAGCTTTTCAGCAGCAGAGAGCACTGGGGTTATGGACAAACTGGAGCCCCCTCGAGATGGAGGTGTGAAGCAAATCCAGGCAAATCACTGAGCCTCGAAATGAACAGAGACAAAGTAAAAGAGACATACACTGTATTTCTTTCTTTCTTTCTTTCTTTCTTTCTTTTTTTAGTCCTTATGTAGCTTTGCTTTAATGCTGTGCGGAGGGACTGGTCAGCTTAATGAGATGATGTGAAGCCTGGAAATGAATAGTGTTGTGATATCCTGCAGCACAGCAAATAGAAGCACTGGGAGCCATTGAGCTGCAGACCCTGAGGCGCAGCACTGCAGAGCAAACAGGCAGAGTGTTGGTTTACTAAATGATGCAGGATGGATGCTTGGTAATCACCACTCTGCTCGTAAATCCTCCTTTAAAGGCACCTTGTAGAATAGAGTGGCTCCATTTCAGCCAAGTTATATCCCCATACTGACCAGATAATCATCTCATCATGTGATCCACACATATGACAGTCATTATACTATAATAATATGGTTTACATTCAACACGAAGACCCACTTACTACTGCAGACACATGAAGCAGAATGCACACTGCTCACCCTGATTATCCATGTTCATGTTGAACATTTCTCTGGTGCAGCCCCTGGGGTTGTGGTGGAACAGTGCATGGTTTAGTGGAGCCCTCCTCCCTCTCTGTAAGCCCCTCCACTCCGGTGGCTGGCTGCAGATTTAATGGGCTTAGCAGCTGTTGAGGAAAAGCAGTGAGGGCTTGTGGCATATGCTCTGGTTAGAACAAAGAGCAGCGAGCACACCACACAAGCTACAACTGCCTGAGCTGAACTCCGAGCTGCCACAGGGGCTGCAGTCGACCGTTAAACTCCTTTTACAGCTCGTGTTCATTCAGTTTATTTGATCGACTTTTTGTTAATGCACTGTTCTGCATTTTTTATGCCCTTATATTAGACCCTTTGATCATTTTCACCCAGTCTGTGAAAAAAAAAATCAAAGATAATAGTTCCCATTGAATTTAGGCTGATGTTTCAGAGCAGCAACTCCTCTCGTTTTACTGTGATTAGGTTGTACAGTAGGTGTGTAATCTCTTAATTCATGAAATGAGAGCACAGGATGGCGTTTCAATGGCTCTTGACAAGGTCGCCCTCTTCAGGGAAGACTGTAATCCTCCAACACGTAGACTTTCACTCTTCTTCCTCATGCTGTTTGGATAGAAAGTGGTGC